TAGAAGCGATATGATCTATCTGCAACTTTAGCAAAAATTACCATGGCACTTCACACTCAATCCGTAATTCCAACTGGGATGTTGCCTAGGTTTTTTTCACTCTTTTCGTTTTGAATACGTATACTGGGGCCCACTGAGTGCTTCCGTCGATTTAAAATTGGAACCGAGTGAGACACTACGCTCCCAAGGGTGCAGTATGCCAAGAAAAAGCTTTCTAAACATGATTTGGCCTTATTTGTTAAAATAGGAAAGGGGACCTATGATTTAAGCTAAGGTTTATTTGAATTTGGAGACTCTGTCTACTGGTTTACTCAAGAGGATACGCAGACAATAGTGATAATCTCATTAAAAATGGAAGACCTAAGTTACTGAATTTCCTTGGATTTATTACTGTTTAAATTATGTAAAAAGAATGTTACCCTGAAACTTCTGCCATTTAGTTATGATACGTCATGGAGCTGTTTTATAAAATCAGAGCCTAAGGAGCAAATTCTTGCATTATTCCTTATGATTTTAAATGGAGGATTATGATTAGCTAGCTGTAATACGATAGTGATTTATCCCTCAGTATTGGTGAGGCGCCACTTTTGTACTTCGAATTAGCCCCCTTGTACCTTGCTGGGTGGGCTGACCTTATGGGCCATGCCAATAGCCCAGGCACCTTCTCTGCGCTGAATATATATCCTGCCCGAGTATTGTGCCTTCTTTCGTCTTCAGGGAAGTCTCGGGACGCTACATAACATTAGCGATTTTCAGTGTACTATGTTTTTTGATGCAGCAACCTCGTTCCTTTTGAAGGATTATACATAAATAATGAAAGTGGAAGAGTGGACCAGTATAAAACAGTGGGGGTGTTAAAATGACTATTAATTAAGAAACAAGAACCGTTTTGACATAGATTTGGTATGACGATTTAAAACAACTACACTCTGCTGGTGAGTCAAAAGCGCACAACCATATTCAATCTACCCAAATCGTAACGAGCCATAGCTGTTTTCGAATAGTCTAAATAGTTTAATCAGCTAAGAAATCTTAAAGTACAGGGGGTAAAGTACTGCTATTGTTACCGTTGAATTTACTTATTGAAAGTCAACACTGTCTCAGTAAAATGAGCCGTGAATATCAGGATTGTGGTTTTTATTTAACGACAGATTTAGCATCTCGTTAATGCAGATAGTGCGTGTGTATGTGTATGCGTTACGATGTTAAGTACCTCTAATGGGGCTTCAGTGCAAATGCCAAAGGATATTTTGCATAGGAAATTATCAGACATGCTTATAAAAGCACTATCAATCTTCTCTTTTTACGAAAATATAGAGAGCTCTAGCGGTTATCATTGCATACGTACATTTTTGAATGAAATTCTTTTATCAAGCTAGTACCATGGGGAATTGCGATTGTTCTGCATTGAGAAATGATCGCGATGCCCTTAATTTAAAGTAGAATTTCACCTGTATATGAAGCACTGAAACCAGGGTGAACGAGAAGGTATCCGAAGCTCCCATTGGCGTGGGTAGTAGTTAATTTGACTGTACTTTACCACTAAAATGCACATTTCGATTTGGATTTCTCATTGTTTGATCGTGTTTTTCTTTGTTTTACAAGAGTTTTCAGCATCAATATTGCATTTTAAAGTGATGAATATACCTTTTTTGAAGGCAATGATTTATACTTCTGAAGCTTTATATTCTGTACCAAACTCGGATGACTTATCAGTTGGAGTCGTTTTATACCTGGACAAAAATAAAAGCCTCAGCTTAGACATCTAAGTGAATTGATGTAGGGCATTTTTAAATTAAAGGAACAGATTTGTCGCGTCACCTACTGAACTAATGGCGCAACCAACAGTAGCTAGATTTTTTAAAGACCATTTTGTAAAGACGGGTCAAATGTAGAATTTTGTCGAAACAATCAATTTATGGCAACTGGGATCACAGAATCAACTTAATACATTGTAAGATTACTTTTAAAATAGGGTGTTTGCGCTAAAAACACCTGTAATTAGGTTCATTAACCAAACATCTACATGAACATAACCACCGCCAGTGCCTTAAAGTTCATTGTATGACTGCCATCTCTCCGCGGGCAACAAATTGACCCTCCGTAGTTGTGTGCATTCGCTCGTCGCGTATGCGTAAACTGCCAAAGAGACCTCTTCAATGCAAAAATTAAGCAGTAATAAAGCGGAATGGAAAGTCGCCAAAGTCGAGAGAGGGTTTGTGATTTTTATAACGAGTCCGAAGTTCCACCTTTATTGCTTCGGTAAATTACTGTCGCAGACCATATGGAGATGCAGCTAACACCTACTTGACTTGCTGGAATGGATTAATTCTACGCGTTAGCAGGCTAGCACATGTTCTCTTTGTGAAATTCCAAAAAGTGTCATGGACTACAAAGGTCATTTTTAACACTAAAGTAGCAGTTAGCTTAAGGTTGAGTTCTTAAAAGAACGGGAATTCTCCTATACCATACAAGATATTGGAAAACATCTGTGAACGGCAAAGCAGCAGCCAAATTTTCCCAAAACTTTTCTTGCGTAATTTACTGCTAACATGTTTAATCAATGCCGACATTTTGTGTTATCGATGAAAGTGCTGCGCCGATGTCTGGGTAACGGGAAAGTGGTTTTAAGTTACTGGTCCAGTCTGTCGACTCGAGTACGATCTCAGAAATATGAGTATTTTTTTGCTGATACAACTAATTTAGGGTTTCCTACCAGTTTATACTGCTTCACTTTTCTGCCCTATTAGGTTGTATGAACACCTAAATATTGCCTTCTGCTTTTTGACGCGCAATCGGTTTACCCAAGTCTCTGCTACATTTATCGAAGTAGCAGCGCAGCTGTCCTCATGCGATCTGCCAGTACACGCAAGTACTTACTTTTGAACATAAAAGTACTCGATGCACCACGATTTGACGCCATACACGCATATTGTTCAAAAACTCATACCTGCTTGGGTGATTGCAATAGTCATCAAGCACAATGTAGCGAGAGTTCATTCAAAATGGAACTTGGTTTGGTCTGCTGAATGGACTTTTTAGGCTGTCGTCACTCATTTTCGATAAATAATTAAACCACATCAACTTAACTAGATTACGGAGTTAAGTCAAGCCTAAAGCCTTAATAAAAACTTTTAGAGTGATCATTTGAGTTCTCTATATGCAAACCTTACTCACATGTTTTCGCATAAATACATGATTTTACTATTCTCCCCAGTGGACTTGATCCGATAAAGTCCCTACTGTTAAACATAACACGCATGCTATTGTATTTCCTTTTTTGTAAATTTTCTTAAATGTCATTTTTCAAATACTGAAACATAAATGCATGAGGAGGACACTTTAAAGGGAATTAGTGGGTTTGTGATATCTGCTGATTTTAAAAAGTTCGCCAATTATACGCAAATTAATTCAATGAAAATAATTTACAACATTTTTATGCGAATTACATAGACCTGGAGACTTGTAGTAAAAGGAAACTGTTTGATTCCGTATTGTAGAAATCCGCTTGTCAGTCACTTGATGGTGCATTATTCCATTTCCTGCATCCTGCCCTCGCACCAAGCATTGACATAGGCCAATCGGACCTACAATCACTGCAATGGCACTACCGATTGGCGAATGAACGCAGTAAAGGATGGCATCGCGAATGCAACTTGGGTTTCCCAACTCGGCTTATTTACCCTCACAAATTTCGCACAATTTAAATTCGCAAAAGAATAAAGTTTTCGGTTTGTGGGTAAAGAAACCGTTAAAACCGACTTATTAAAATGTCTTTTATTCTCATTCGTTAGTAGCCATGTTTTTGAAATTATAACTATATCTAGTTCAAAAGGCTTTCACTTCCCAAATTTTTTTTAGATGGGGCTTATTATTGACTTAGAGAACTCAATATCGTGTTCACTTTAATAGGTGCTTTTGGACAAAATTAATAGCAGTAGCTGTGATTCATTTCTGACTAGTTCTGCTTAATTAATAAAGAATCAGTTTTCCAACCTCTTCAATTTTTGCATACATTTCATTCGCCAGATATTGGATGATTCAGAGTAATTATTAACTGCAAATAGTGATTTCACTAAATAGCTATAAGATTGCTCAGGCCTAAGTCTACATTTGCTTAAGAGAAACACCGGAGTTGAGCTTCTTTTATGTAGAAAATTGGTGGTCAGGGACTTTACAGCAGCACGACTGTAAAAACAACGTATCGCGACCCTAATTTTATGGTGATAAAGTCCCCGAGCTACCACACGAAAAGACATTGAGGTAAGTGTTCTCGGTAGAAAAGCCCATGAAAAAGTTGACGATTCTTAATTTTGATCAATCGGTTATTGAGATCTGTTGCCACCAACCATAAGAATATGTATATCGAGTTTTCCCGGTTGAGATTGCATGGTGAAAAGGTGAATGAGGTGATGCCTGAATAAACACTAACACCGGCACTTCGTTGCAATATTTGTGCAATTTATCAGTGCTTTAATCTACCAGTACTTTGAACAGATGACAACTTGTTTTACAAGCCTGATCTTGTAAATCTCCCCGTAATACGTCAAAAATATCTGCTATAGTCTAGCCCTAATAATGAATGCTTAAATGAAATTTATATGTGAAACAATGCAGTTTCGATGAAACAGATCCGCACAGAAATGGTGCAAAGTCGCTGGGACAGCAGGACACAAAGGGGAATGGGCAGTATGGGTAACAGTCACATTAAATCGCGTTGCACGAGGTGGGGGCGTGGAGTAGTTGCCAGGGTCGACCAATCAGAAGACTAGGCAAACAGGCTGGAATGATCGAGTAGATAGGGCAGTGACTAAGGCAAACATGCGGAATTGGCTCGTCTAACACTTCCCCGTTTGAGCTTAATTGTCAAGGCTCACTCCATGGCCCAGTTTTTGCTTCCTCCAGTCTTGTGTCTCTGCTAGCGCGAAATAATCTGCATTGATTCTCCATAGCCAGGTGCGTTTGTTTGAAACTTCGAATCTTTGAGGAAAATCTCATGAATAATTTTGCTGTTTGATCCTCCTGTGACCAGTACCTCCGTGTATCTGAACTAGATTACACATCAGAAGAGACTTCTAGAGGATTTAAGCTGTCTTCCTTTCCCTTTCACCTTAAGCATTGACAACTAAAATTGGGTCAAACATTGTTCTATCAATCCATTCAAATGCGGGTATTAGGAAGAAAGTGTCACTGATTGTGCCTTATACCGTTTTCCTGGCATAATTATTAAGGAAATAGAAGTAGAATGCGTTCCATTGTCGACCGCTAGATCCTGGACCTTTCATAACATTGGATATTTATCTGAGCGCGGCAACTCTGGTACCGACTGTTGACGACATCTGAACAACCTCTGCCCATTTGTTATACACATCCACGAAAACTAATTCAAGATCATCCACGTAAATTATAGATCACAGTTGTTGGCGAGCCGACCAAGAATGGAGTTCAACTTGCATATGCGATTTGTACGTCTAAGCGTATTGTAAATAGGACTTAAGTAGGCATTTATTTTAAGTCAAGATATGATCAGCAAACATGGCGTTCTCGCCAACATTCTAATTTGGTTGGTTATAGGTTGCTCCGTAATGAAGTGGCTTAAGGATCCGTTCCTGCTGCTGTTTAGTTTGTTCAAATACCAGACCATCATCTATATATGACAACAATTGGCGCCGATTAAGCTGGTTCAGCTCCTTTTCGGTGATTTGGAGCAATCCTCTTAACTTTGGCTATTTTGCAGCCTTCTGTAGAAATGGGTTTTGTAAGGTTGTCCCTTTGATCATGGAGGGAGTTAGAGGGAATTCAAACTGCGACAGCTGATGCATCATCTAAGCTCGATATTCCAGTTCCTTCTAATACCTCTTCATCAACCGTGAGAGGGCACTAAGTTGAATAATTTTTTTCAGCTAGTTAACAACGGACAGTAGGATTTTAGCCGAGTAATATATTCACCCATTTTTGTGCCCTGATCTCCGGAATAGAAGGGGATATTCTTTTTACATCCAAAGGAAACCAAAAGAAGTTTCTTATCTTCAATCAGTATAAAACATGTTCCTAAAAATGCCTATTTGAACGTTTTGCTTGCTGTCAGTGAACGAGCATCAGGGATGACCTTCTCCTCTCAGGTAGAAAAGAAGTGACCTGTGCTTGTGTTCGACCCGAAGTTTGGTCTCGTTGGCTTTAGAGAGATAAAATCTGGGAATCGTGAAGAGTCTATAAGCATCAATCTGATCCTTTCGAAGGAATTTCGGCATTCTATTGTTCAATGTCATGGGGAATCCTTTGTAAGTAATCGATTAAATGGACCACGTATGCCCTATGTCATTTAGAGAAAAGCATTGCAGCGGCCCACTAGTCCTAGAAACAACCATATGAGTCGGAGGCATTCTATTAATAGTTTGATTTTTGATAAGTCAGGTCTCCTACCGTGTTTGCCGATTGGGAATCTCAAACAATTCACAGAACCCATAGCAAAGACACATTCATCCTGAAGTAGATGAAGGCCATATGTATTCATTCTATTAAGAAAAATCTCCTTTTTATGATAATTTGCTTTTAGTCTATACCTATTATAAAATATACCATCTAGATAGGCCGCTGTGCCTCCGACATGTGAAGTATGCTGTCTATGGTCTGCTAAATTATGATACATGTACCGACTTAGTTCATGGTGCGTATTGACCTCCGACAACCCCAAGTTTCTTCACCCTGGAGATAGGAATTTAAGAGTTCCATTTTTACAAGGGATGGATCTCTGTTCAGCTTGCTGAACTGATTTTCTGGGACTGAAAACGGTTATTGGCAATCGTTAAGCTCCGCGTTGAATCCGACCTGTAAGTCAGCATGTGCTCGAACCTTTCTCGTTGAGGTACTTGACGATCAATATTGGAACAACTCATGGTGAATGGTTGACAGACTTCTGAGAGCCTGTTCTTTGAAGCCTTGCTAGTTCCTGATCTGCGAAATAGCTGATAGCATCGAGAGCCGAGGTTTCGACTAGAACACGGGATTTACATCTAAATGCAGGGTCAAAATGATTTTGATTTTGTTACGAGTTCCTCATTGGAAAATCTAAGAGCGTTTTTGACACAAACAGTCAGAGGGGTCATTGCAACGAATATGGCTACATACTGAGATCAGGAGAACATTCATGATCCAAAATTTTTAATCCAATCCCAGTCAAGGAGATTCGAGCTAAACTAATTAGTCAAATAGCCCACATCACCAAAGCTGTAGCTATTGAATGAAATTGAGCAGCAATTCTTACCGACCATATTAAAGAAACTAGATGAAATTTTTCCGATGAATAATTATTCCCTTAGAATACCTGTTACTCCTGATTTACCGAGCTGCACTAATTTTTGTAAAATGAGATACTCCATGCTCCTAAAAGAAAAAAAGCAACTAAAAAACCCTCTGTTTTATCTTGTAAAAAGCAACTTTTAACCACTGGATGAGTGAAAACTATTATGGATTGCAACTGAACACCCTGTGTATGCCCATCAAATCAAGAGAAAATATACACCTCGCAAGTTTTCAGTCAAACCCAAGGTCTTTTATAGCCTCTTTATTTTCAAAATATAAGCTATTTTCAAGATGTGGATTTGTATTAACCTTTAATTAAAATTATTTGACCTAAATGCCACCGGTACGTCCTTGTTCAAACCGAGCTTGTAATAGCTTCAATGAAATCATTCTATGCATAAAGTCTTTTAGTGAGAGACGGCTTGAATTTGACTAATCAATTAGAGCAGAACAGACAGTGTCACTTTAAAAGTGCGGTTTGATGCATATCCTCTTTTGGAACGTGAACAAATCAGCACGCAATTTATGATGCCTCTAAGCGAGGTTTGGTATTGAACATAAACTTTCCCAACTATTTGTGGGAAGGAATACAATGCGGTAAAAGTCACAGTGTCATGATATGCAGCAAATGTATTTAAACAGGTCCTTATTTTGGGAATATTTTCTACTCTGAATTCACTTGGCATTTTTACTTACGGTACTACCCATTTGAGTGAAACGACACTTTCTTTTACCTAACATATGTCCAATTGCGATACTTGCTTGAGATGATGTGTGGCATGACTGATTTTCATTTGTCTGTGGTGTGTGTGTCCTTCCTTAAAAATAGGTGGCTAACTTTGCAAATGCTGACCGAAAAAGCACAGATACGAATGGGCATGCTCTCATCGTAAAAATATTTTGTAGAAAAACTTTAAAATATTCATTTGTCTTACAAATTTAATAATAAAAGGTGAAATACCCCGTGATAAAAAAGCAAATATGAGCTAATGGAGCTAAAACAGTAGAAATTTTACACCATGAAACACAGCTGAGCTAAATAGATGAAAAGATTTTTAGCAAATTACCTAAATAACAAATCTCACCGACTCTCTAACATTAGTATAAATAAAGGTTTAAGCTTTTTTATTAAGTAAAAGTAATAGATCCTGAGGCATATTTAAAAGAAGATGCTAAAACTTGATAAAAGTTAATAATATTTGCAACAGTTCATCAATTTCCTATGCTACTTTACGAGAAAAGGTATCCGGTTCTACTGGTGGGTGGAAATGAGCTAAAAGGAGGGGTATACGGAGATTGCAAATGACCTGCTAGGGGGTAGGGGGCGAACAGGTGGAATTTATGTCTTCTGGAAGGATGATCAAAAGAGGTCGAGGAAGTGTGATTTTCGGCAGAACACCTGCCTGTAACGAGGCCTCCCACTTCTATCTCCTTTATAATCTGAAGGTCAATCCCTTTTGCACAAGTTTATTACCATTAAGAGAATGTATACTTAACCTTAAATTCATCTTATTTAAATGACAGGCAGCGATACATTAGCGGAGCACCTCAGTGGCCCATTATCCAAATTAAAATTAACTCAATTAAAAAATAATTGAGTTATCATTGCAACGCAATTTGGTTACGACGAAGGCGGCCTGAGATGATAAACTAATTTTAACAAACAAGGTTTTTTAGACCATTCAACAGTTATTTTCATTTACCTGAGTTAAAGCGATGTCTCATTTTCCAAAATGAATTGACAAGGATATGGTAGAAAATCAAATGCGTGTTGCATGGAAAGGATTAAACTCTGATTCGGAATTCGCATTAGGGCTACACACGTGCAGTCGTGTTTGGGGCCGAGGGGGTGAATTACTGAAGAAGGCAGCGTTTGACCTCAATGACTTCATTACGGTCGCCTTGGGGAGGGGCAGTGGTGATCAAATTTGCTTCTGCCAAACCTGGAAGGAGCCACTCTCCCCACTTTTCCTCCCTACAGAACGCCACTTTACGAGTGTGCAACACCGTGTGTCAGTCAGCCTTTCCCTCCACCTCCCCCTCTTCCTCTTCTTTCATGACACACTTGACCTCATGGCTCACGAAACTCTTTCTTGATAATTTGGAACAACTAAAGGTGGGTTCGGTCACACATTCTTCCCTTTCGTAAAAATGAGCACAAACACAATCCCGTAATTTGTGAAATTTCTGGTATTCGAGAATGGTGTAATATTCTCGTTTAATTTGTCGATTGTAATCATGTTCACCCTAACATTCAAATGTTATATAATCGTTAGCACTAATTTAAAATGTCTATTAAATGTTTTGCCTAATCTTTAGGTGTTGATCGGTGAAAATGTCAAGCTCAGAATGAAGAAATGCCAATAAGTAGATGAGAAATAAAGGTGCTATCAAAGACGTTACTGACTCCAATATAAACGAAAATGTGTGCCGTTTTACCATTTAACTATGAATAAGCTTTCGGCGCCTAGAATTAAACATAAATAGTAAATTTTATGCATCATAGGCATGGTTTTCCTCGAAGTGAGTTACTTTCAATTTATAACTAACATGCCACGTCGTTTAAAATATTTTTGAGTAAAATGTAGTAATAACGGTCAACTTAAAACACCCAAAAGCCAAGTTTTTATCATCCCTAAGGTTACTAGTAAATATTTCAGAATATCAGGGAATCGTTATACATACTTCAAAATGGCAACCCACTTTAGATTTCATGTTTAGGGGTGATAACTGGTATTATTTTATTTTTCCCAAGACTTTTCTAACATTTTTTGAATTCTTTCCTTTAACAGATTAATTGCCGACTTAAAGTAAGAAAATCGAGACAGAATTTGCAATACTTCACTGCAGAATTACTACCACTTAATTGATTGAATGCTGCATCAACGGTCCGGTTGCGATTTCATCGACCTTTCGGATTAAATAGTTTTTCAAGCGTGTTTCAATGTCCATTCTAGCGAAAAATTGAGTAAGCAACAAGCTCTGTTGTCTGCGCTGCCTCAACACTGCCTCAGGAAGCTACTCCGATTTTGTCCTTAAAGTGCACCAATTGCCCGGTTGCTGGCCTTCTTTATCCTGTCTAAAGGAATCCCACACTGCCCTAGCAACTCAAATAGGGCTGCTCATCGGGCCACACACACTCGCTCTATTAGACTCAGTGTTTTTAATTTAGGACGTCCAGACACCTAATTATCATATCGGGGAAAGCGGTAGCATTGTAATGTGTCCATCTTAAGGGGCAGGTTTCCAAGTGAAAAGGGTGGAATAAGCGCGATAACATGCTTGAATATAATTTCTCGTCATTAATAAAGGTCAAAATTTTCGTTATGTACTTTTAGAGTTGCCTTGATAAGCAATTGTGTATTGTGAAATCAATACAAACTATGTAAATGGAAGTGATGAGGATGACATTGAAATTACACAACATCGAGCATGCAAATCCCATTAAGACTATAAATTTGCAATCTACAATAAATAATGTTATTTCTACAAAAATTGGGGAGTAATTTTTGAACCAGAAAACATCTAATTAGCAGGCAAACAATAATAATTTGTTCTTGGTAGTAAAGGCAAATGAGATTAAAAAAGCCTAAGTACAGCAATGCTGATCAGAGCTTTTGAACATCTGGTAAAATGAAAGTAACCATGCTTTTATCACCTATCACTGACGGCGTCTTCTTTGACACCTTCGAATTATAGTTACACATGGAATAATGAGATTGATCAAAAACCCAAGTTTTCAAATTAAGCACCTTTTTAAATTGGTGGATCTTTTTCTAATATTAAAATAACTATAGGAATTCTGGTACATTTTCATAATATACAGTCACTAAACGTTAAATTGCCAATGCGATGTTTTATTGGGTAAAAATCACGCTTTTATTGACCAATAGAATTTTCATGCGCACCTTCTCGCCCAATCAGTGGAAAAGTGGTACCCATCACCCATTGGTTACATGCCTTCCCCATAATGATTAAAACAACCGTGCAGCTGACTAATTGACGTAACGGTGCGGCGAAAGAGGATGAAAGTAAGTTCCTTCTGATGTTCTTGTGCAAGTATCAAAATCGAGCTAAAAAACATAGTCAATTTCCATATAATTTCCAAAAACATATGACTGGTTCTCATAAAACCGGTAAAGTTTTATTCTACAAGACAACCGCGAACTAAAACTCAAGCCTTATCCACCTAAGGATAGACAAACTTTGAAGTGATTTACAAAGTTTTACTTATTTAGTAATGACCATTGGTTTTCTTAATCTAAATAAATTAAATTTCAGGAAGTATCTACCATAAACAGCGCTGTAAGTCAGGAGGACATCAATCGCATCGTTAAAAAACTAATCACGATAGGAGATGATTTGGAATTGCACATGGAAATGCAGTTTGAGCTTTGTTTGAGAGTGGTAAGACGGAAAAATTGTTTATATTTATTTTTTCATGTGTATTAATAGAGAATGTAAGATTAGGTGATATAAGCTGCCAAGAAGATGAATTCTCTTTACCTTAATATAGATGGTCCCCTTCGTTGGGGTTGTAATCATACACGGTGTGTTGAGCCGCTCCTTACGTGAACGAGGTCTCAGGCGATTTTATCAGCATCTCTATGGATCAAACTGAGCCTGCAAGTACCCTAATCTCCACAGAAACAAAAGAACAGGGATGGGGAACCTCAGAAAACACTCAACAAATGACCGAACAGATATTATTTGCTGAGAGGACGACAGATGATTTCTAATTATAACTTCTAAGACAGTTTAAGTGGAACATGCTGTTTTTAAATAACCGGTTCCCACCTCTAGCATTTTATCAACTACCCTTTATAACATCGGAATGGGCTATGACACCATTTATCGGTAGGTCCGATTGTACAGTTCAAGTGAACAAACCAATCAAAATTCCCGTTATTTTTAAAGTGCTAAAGCGATGAATCGTTCTTGAGACATCAAAAAATGTTCCAATAAAACAGTAGAATACTCAGTGCAGATGAAATACAATGCTGATAGAAAGTTTCATTGATACATCAATTCTAATACCATAGGTAAACAAGAATTATGTATTTATTATGGATTTTGTGTCGGAAAAAATGAGCATTGTGCACTAGACTTTGCCATGATGTTGCAGCAACTCAATCAAAAGTGACTCATGGCTGGATCGCAGATTAATGGGTCCTTTAAAATCATACCAACGTGCTGACTCAACCTTTGAATCCTCCAGGAAGAGCTATAAAGGAAATCCATTGAAAAATGGGAGGTTTATTTCTTTCGGATAAAACAATGAATGACTGTACAACATAAGGTACTTCATAATTATTCTTAAAGTGCGGTATTTTTATCGGATAATATTTAAAGTTAATTTGCATCATCATTAGATCCAAAATAACATTATTAACTATAGCCTAGATACGCATCCAATCCTTAGAGCATACACGTATTTCAAGCTTTATAAAGCGCTTAATCGAGTTCGAAGGAAATTATGGTAGCCTAACCTTTGTTGCGTCTGTGTGAAAAGGAGCTTGGCCTTTGCTATGGAAGTTAATGCACACTGCTTCAATCCAAGCGTGATCTGCATTCAAATGGTCATCCAAGAAGTCATCACTAATCTAAAATGGCAAAATAAAGGCTTGTAAAACTAATGTAAATTTTTGACAATTACACCTCTTAAAGAATAGACAAAACAAAACATACCAGAGATATTTCCATTTCATTTATAGAGTAAATCAATGTATCTTTGATTGATTCAAGTTCGGAGTTTGCATTGCTATAAAGACTAGTGGTTCTTTGCAGCAAAAAGTCGCGCATAACTTTAGCAGCACAACCGCGAAAGTCGCATGATTCCCGATGGTCTACAAAAAACTGTCAAGAAAAATGTTTTTAACGCTTGCTGTACTGATTGGCAGTAAGTAGCTGAGGTAAAGTCATCACATGCCCACGGGAGGCAGGAGCACTGATGCCTGTCAAGAACTGCCACCTGGAAATCAGCCGGAGATGTACCAGATCGCGTAAAAGCGAGAATAATGACATGATTGGGACCCCAGTGCGGGAGCATGCCCTTTCCTCCCAGGCCCGAACGGCCTCGGGGATTGAGAGGGAGGCCGCGAGGTTCTGAAGGCCCACGCGACACACGCACCCGCCCCTTAAGACAGCAGCGCGACACACCCTGCGGTGCATCGTAGGTGTTGTAATGCAGTTTGGTTGGATCGCTGCCCATTGAGTGGCGATACCATAATTAAACAGAAGGCAGGAGTTACGCTTTCACATGCCGGATATAGTAATAAGGTATGAGGTAGAGCCACTTCCCACATCTTGTAAAGAACATTCACTTCTGCGTAGAATTAGACAAAGCAAAAAGTCGCAGTTGCACATGAGAAAAAATGTATGAAATACAAATGCACAAAGCCGTTAGTGAGACTTGTACTGGTTTTATCTAGAGGATCATAAATCGATGGCTTCAACTACATTTGCGAAAAAAATGGAGAATTACACTTCAGGACCGTCCTCGATCTCGGGATATGGATAGGCGATTCTATCAGCATTTGCAATAAAAGGCCTGTATTCTGGATAAGGAACCTAAAAAAGGAGTTAAAACTATGCAGTTGTCACCAAATTCATTGAACTTTGACAGTCGGTTTTTGTTTTATGTGAACTTGAATTTAAACTATATTTCTAAACAATAAATTGATATACCTAGTGTGTAAAGGGTGATAGTGATTTAGAAAAATTATGGAATCAACGCTTATGGACAAATTTACAGACAACGACAGAGAGCAAATACACAAGGGGAGGAGAGAGGAATTTGCAAAGGCCTACCTTCCAGTCGACCATGCCATCGGGAATGTTCACTCTCATGCCGGGGCGCCGTTCAAAGTTGAAGGGAACGAGGCGCCAGAGGCGATGGCTAGCGATGAGACGCTCGTAAATGCTCGCTGTCGGTGGCATCGCCTCAGGTCGTCGGGAAGGTGGGCCAGGCTGAACCAACGGTGGTACTGCCACGCTGTCAAACGGTATCTCTGAGGGGTCGGCATTAGTTAACACAGCCTTCACACAGAGACTTTCGATGCGCAATCTCAAAAGTAAAAGCAAACCACAAATGAAGTGTACGAACTGAGAAGTCTCTAAATGTGACTGCTGTAAAATGAAAGCCATCAGAGAAAAGAGTCAAATAAATGGTGGCATACAATGTGCTTAATTAACACCTTCTTCAAAATAGTTCTTCTAAAACACACCTTCACCCGGGATTTATCCAATCCTTGAAATAAACATTGGAGTAACTTTTGTTAGAATTCATTGTCATTGTGACTAATTCTTTCACTAGTGGGGTCGAACGGTGGGGAACGAGTAACTAAACTTCTGTGAAACCACAATGGAATTGCCAAAATTTTAACACTCTTGACTGAAATGATTGATTGTTATAAACTTGGTCACCACTAGTTGCAAACTCGGATTTTTAGTGGCTGAGGCCCTGTATCCTTCCGAAGCCTCCAACCAGATAAGTGATAAAGATTTTAGAGTAGACCCCTTTAACAACCGACGTAATAAGTACACAGAAGAGGCACGGTGAGCGTGTACATACCCGGTGGGTATAGACCAGAGGCTGCCATGGGGATGAGTCTACCTCTGATTTGTGTGTCAGTGATTTCATTTGCGCCTACTTATATCAATTGATCTTCAAGAAGTTATTAATAGAGTTAGAGTGCATCTGCTGGCATGGCCAATCGGGCAAGATTGAGCGAGAGAACTGCTCTCTAGAAAGTGCAGGTATTAGCCATCAACTAAAACGCATTTCTGGAGTTACAGACATCTCCACATTCACCATTTTATGTTAGCTAAGTACCAACCGAAAGCTTTTTAGTGGTTTATAAATCCGCGACATTCGGACAGAATTATAGGGTGAACCGGGGTTCAAGCTGTATGCACAAAAAACATGTACTTGTTTACAATTAAATAAATACAGTGCAGTGTTTTTTACACTTTACAAAAAAGTCCGATTTGATCGGGAATGCGCTTTGCTTTGTTGCATACGGTTTAAAGAAATTTTTAGTGATACTCCCTTTGTCAGGTTTGTACCTTAACGGATAAAACGGAGAAAACTGAAACGGCATACTCCCAAATCTGACTTCACATAATATGACATCGAGTAAAAACCATGCACCACAAACTAAAATGATAGTTTTTTAGCAACAATTTTTATCTGATTTTGTAGCATAAAAGGATTAAGGTTCCTGTGGTAACCGCTTCAAAGAGTGGGAAATATAACGTGGAGGAGGTATAAAAGAGACCCTTTACACTTCTATGAAAAATAGTCTTCTAAAAAATTAATGTTGGGTACTTTATTGCTATCATATCGGCGTTGACAGCATTTCGGACAAAGCAGAAAATGAAGAGGAATGGAAAGAATCCTTAATTACATAAATAATGAACCTACTTTCCCGAAAAAAATTGCCGAAATAATTCCACTTTAGCTAGAACAGCTTACACATGTGCGACTAAATCGCACATGAAAGGCTACTGGCTTACTTTTCCTTCATCTTTTCTTCAATATCCTGACAATGTTTAGACAGGCCTTCCACCGCTTCTTTTATTGCTTTGCCGATGCCACGGGAAGCAGACTGTAGTCTTGGGGTGGTGCTCTTCCGTGCACCAACCAGCCGTCCTCCTCCCGAGTCATCAAGAAATTTCATAGTCTGAAGGCAAAAAATGAGACCAAGCACGCTAGTCATACTGATGTAAGTTCGTTTTTTGAAGCAGACGTCTACCGTGGTAAGTCTAAGAGCGAAAATTGAAAATAATCGCGTCACATCATCCACATTAATTGGAATGCTAACCTAAAGTTGAGTATTAGCTAACTTATGTGAAATCAACATTTTGTAAGGAAAGTTATCGGCGCAGTTCCATAGTGTTTGTCGATTTTCAAGCATTAGTTGTGAATTTGCCTATTCTAATTGAATGGCAAGACTAAGTTACGGCTTGGAGGGTATAAAATCACTTCAGTTGATACAGAGCATTAAGTCATTAAACACAGCTGCATTTAAACTCCGGGTTTAGTCGGTAAGATGAGGTTGATTGTGTTTTTACGAAATTACTTAAGATTCTTGAATATATACAAACAAATGAGAAAAAGTGGTTTGTACAACGATAAATTCATTTAAGAGTCCCTTTGTGGAAACTATGGGTGCATGGACCATATTGTAAAGCAGGCGGCAAGTGTGGTCAAAATGAATCAGTGATATGATTTTTCATTGATTTAACAATAGAGTTTTGTAGTTATTTATATTGTATAAGACTATTTTAGGATAACTGATTATTTTTGGTAGATATGTGCTCTAAGTAACGTACACTCCATACTTACTTGATTTTGGCTCTTTTGAAGCCTTTTCAAACCTATGGTGATACGCTTCACCATGCCGATGATACGGTCGAGGCGGTTCTCAAAGTTGGGGATTTTCTCAACCTGTGAGCTGAGTGTATAGAACTTCTCTTCAATGAAATCGGAGTCAGAGCCGAAGATGGAGGACATGTCCTCGAGGAGACGGTCACTAAGAAGTGCATTACTGCGCTTCCCTCCAGCACCCACCGGAGCGACCCCTGCCCCGCTCCTCGCACTGATGCTTCCAGCGGCTCCCTTTACACCCCGTGTTGTGATGACGGTCGACCACGCTGCCTCGCTCCGTCGTGAGACCGGCAGTTCGGAATCCATCTGCGAGCGCAGCACGCTCTGCGCCTTCATAAACTCCCACTTCATCAATTTTGATTCCAGTGAATGGTTTCCACGAAAGTTTCTGCCTAAATCATTAAAAAGGGGAATTTGAGTTGTTTAAATAACCTGAAAAGAGAGTTTATGGCAAAAGAATAAGATTCCAACTTTACCCTTCTTTAAATGGCCTCAATGTCTCTGCCTAATCAGTGAAGCACGTCGTTTGCAAAAGTACCTAAATATCTTCGACATTTTGCATCTGAAAAGTTTCTTTGTTCAGCACGCCAACAAAACAAATAAATAGCAGAGATGACACGCTTTGAAATTAAAAGCTGGGGTTAATTAAGTTTGTCTGAACCGAGAAACAGAAATCGAAATTAGCATCCAAGAGGCTTGGACAAGAAAGCTTAAATCAGCCACATGAAGCAGAAGACTAAGAAAAAGCATGAGATACGATTAAGTATAAGAACTTAAATAACTGCAGCTTTTAAATCCAAAACGTATCAATTCTGCCATTTATGTGCGCTGAAATGTGACCTAATCAAAAGTATGTTTTTTGGAGTTTGAAAGCAGGAAAAAAATAAGCTCAGGATCCTAGTTAGTTTTGCCGATTCATTACGAGACCTTTACCGTTCTTGGTGTGATACCTGAAGAATACGGCATCTTAGAACAAAATCAGCATTCACGTTTTAAAGATCCCCAATTTGTGATGTCACAGTTTATAAGGAAACCGAATCCTTATCTCAAAAGCAGGTAAAATAAAAAGGCAAAAGTGAAGGTACAATAGAATTTAAAGCCTAAAATGAATATCTAATTTACGTCGATTTCATAAAAATTGAATATTCATTTCTACGAATAGTTGTATTCTGAAAGTGTTAGAAAAAAACCGGAAGAAGGATTGGTGTGGAAACCTTGCTCTAGATAACATAAAATGCAAAGTACATAACAATCAACTACTCTCGTTGCCTGGACGTTAAGATTACCATGAACATTTTCAAAACACGTCATTTTACTCGAATGCAAATTTGTCAGTCCTACTAGTAACCCCTTTCCATTTTGAGGCCAAATAAGTAACATTACGTAAATCCAACCTTCCCATTTTCATTGGAAAAGTTTCATGTTACCACCCTGGAACTGCAACATCTATCCAAATTAGATTGCCCATTCCAAAACTATTTCTTAATTACCTGCAGAACAAAACTACACTTAAAACAAATCCAAAAGGATTTCAAGATATGGATTAAGCCCAATTTCAAAATTCCTCACAGAAAGGGTCGTCGGCAATCTCCGGCTCAAAATCGTCCATTCCTGGACAAAGGCCCAGAAGGCGGTGTATGACTGCGTATACGATTTCTCCGATATACCATAGCAGTGTGAATGGTGGAGCGACGGAGGGACGATCCACACATTCTTGAATCATTTCATAGCGCTGGTAACTCCAGAAGTACGTTGATGATCCCTCTATTTCAAAATAGGTAGATCTAAAAGGTCCATGTGACAAAGCTTTAAAATTATATTTGAGCATTGGTCTACTGGACAAAAGCCTCAACTTGATTCATGGAGTACTTCCCAAAAGCAAAGAGCACCTCAAAACGCAAACTTAAGATGCAATTCAATCGCTCCTATCAGGTAAAACTCACGTAAATGTTGCAACAAGTAGATTTAACATTAGGAGTTGCGTCAGCAATATGAAGGAGCTTAGACTGATGATGGATAACTTTCTTGAAGAAAATTGTGGGCACAAATCGTCATCTCTGCAACTACCGTCTACAAGAAACAATAATTAGTAAAAAAATTTCAACTCGATGATCAAGGATCTTCATAGCTATTGGAAATGTAAGCAAACAATCGCCATCTTTATTCCATAAATTATAAACTTTTTAAGGTTTTTTTACGAAGCACGCCACTCATTTGAAAAAAAACAACCATTTTGAGTGGCTGTTTGGTGCGTTTCACGACATAAGCATGCTCCTGGATGAACGATGACGAAAGAACAATTCGGGATAACTTCGGAACGTAGAAAATTCCCTGCACGGGGCCCACCACGCAGCACAAAAAAGCTAGCCACACTCAGCCTTGTAAATCATAAGCACAAAGGACAGTGTCAAGCTAACCGGAACTAGAGGAATTGATCCGTTCTTTTTTATACATCAGTTCGTCTAAATCTGAAAGAAACTGCGGCGAGACTCAAAAAGCCGTCTGATCTTGACGGTTTTACATCTCAACGTTATGACATTTTTGACGATCTACGGAGTGAAAGCATAACAATTGTAGAAATGTACTAAAAACGAACATTTAGTGGTTCTGTCAAAGTTGAAAATTTGAAGGAATTCTAAATGATTGAAAAAATTTTGGATTTATTTAAAGTTTTCCTAAAAATGGTCAACTTACCTTCACCCTCGAGAATATCAAGTCCAAAGTTGCCTAACATCTGAAAGTAGGCGGTCATAAAGAACTCATAAACGATCTTCCCTCCCGTCATGTGCTTCATTGTCATATTTAGTGCTAAATTGTAAGTCAAAGTTGCATTAGTAAGTAAAAATGTAACGCAGTAGCTGCTTATTACAAAACTTACACAGGGTCTTTTGAGAGTAGTGTGTATAATAACCATTTGGATAAGAAACAACAAAAGATGATACGCCATATCCTGCCTGAATCACTACTAAGAGTAGCAGAAACGGCAGTAGATCGTTTACTACCTAAAATAAATACACATATTAATTGAAGGGCCTGACAATTCAATGGTTTAATTCCTACAGATTATGCAACACAGAAGGATGGTAGGTTTGATCTAGTACAAGTGAAAGAAAATTAAGTAAATATACATAGCTGAGATAAAATCAGTGCCCGAATTTGATGTTCCTTAGGCTTTTATGCATACCGCGGCAAAGTTGCTGCTGGAAAAATTTAAGCGCATGGAATTATTGGAAGAACACAAAGTCGTTTAAATACTAAACCATAGAATTCAAGCCATCAGAACCAACCAACTCATTTCACCAATAATTGCACAACAGAAGCTTTGTTGAATTTCCCAATTAATTATTAGTAATTTGTACAAATAAGTCAAACCCGACTCACCATGCGATTTATCATGATGAGTTTTGGACCGAGAACAATGCTAAAACTGAAAATATACATTAGGCGGACGAAAAAGGCGAAGAGACTGAGTGCAAACATGATGCGAGCAAGAGTGAATCTCTCCTCGACGAGGAGGAAGTAGGGATGGTCGATGGTCAGCTCTTCCGCCCGAAGATCAAGCTGGGTTACTTGTACTGCTAGTCCTGAAGTGATATCCCAATCGAACAGATTGCTCGAATTTTCATGAAAGCCCTTTACAAAACAAAACATCCCAGGGATTGGAACGTTTGGCGAGAAATTGTTTTTACATCGCATTGGTATAACACACCTTTGAGAAGGAACTCACTGATGAACAGGTTACATTGTCTCGGTTGATCTGTCTTTTAGCTTCTACAAGATTAACGTCGCGCACTTGCAAGTAAGCCAAAGTGCGAAGCACGAAGCCGCCGAGGTAGAGGGCAATAGCGGCGCAGTCGAGCTTGTTCCATCCGTCGCTCAGATATTCCTTCAGGCTGGCACCTGGACCGAAAGCCTTAAACAAAAAACAGGCAATGAGAACGCCATCACAAATTCAGTTTCAAACTTATCATGCTATCTTTTTGACAAAGGGCTTCTTTAAATTCTTTCCAAATGAACTGCAAACGGTTGATTGTAAAGACGATTTGTGGATTATACATAAGCCAAATATGATACAAGACGCATCGTTTGATACTAGTTTAAAAGTAAGCACCAGAAACCCACTTGCTTAAGTTCTTCCAGCAGCAAAGCCAAAACCATGGCAAAGATGAGGCCTTCCTGAATCGAGTAGGATATTCTTAAGTTTTGAAGGATCATATTACTGAACAGAATTAGAAACGCAACGTAGAATATCTAAAGGGTAAAGTTTCATGGAAAAAAACGAAATAAGTCAAGTAATACCGTAACTTCATTCTTTAACGTGGTTCAAAAAATTACAGTTAGAGATATTGAAAGTGAAAACTTTCTTTTTGCCTCTTTATCACTCAACCCGTATGACATGATTTACTTTGTTCAAGGAACCTGCAATGCGCATAGTCGTAATTTCGTCGAAGAAGTTGGTCTAGCCGAGTGGATAAATGCATTTACTAATAGAAGCTGTTTTGCAATTGGATTCTGAGAATGTGCTGAGTATTTATGTCGTTGACTGTTGTATGATGATTAAGTTTAATGTACACGTATCAAAACTCACGGTATTGTAGAGAAATCGAGTAACAGGTGCATGATAATATTGTGTGATATCCTTTATTTGTCGATGGAGCCTACAGAGGACGAAAGTAAGGAAAAAATACCCTTATAGTATACCAGTGTCGAGACGCTGTCAGTAGTGTTGGCGGAGATTTATGCCTTTTCCCATCCTCCGAACACTCGAGGTCAGCTGAAAACGTGGTGTTGTCCCGGCTACTTTCACTTGTTTCTGTATCACTGGGATTAGTCTATACGCGCAAAAAAGAACACAGCGATAAAGAATTAAGTATAGTACAGCATTTCTTGATGCTCAACGATAACAAACACCTTAGTTGGTTCAATGGCTTCTATTACATTCGCAAAATGCACTATAAGACTAGTTTAAGCCATCGGTTTACCTCATCTATGCCCAGGAGGGATTTCTGTGTGTCGTTGCAGGAGTACGTCATTACTTGAGGCAGGATGAAGGGAAAGACTAAACCGACTACGGCACCACATAGAAGCTGAAATGTACAAGCAAATTATTTATGTGATGAAATTATTTATCTTATAGCCGAAATCGGGGTATCAAACGAGTCTAATGCCTCAGGATGCAGATTCATCCTATCTTTATAAAGGGACAAATAGGGACATTGATTTACTTGAACAACGTTCAAGATATAAAATTTTTGAAAAATCCAGTAAGTTTAACTTCAAATGCAGAAAAAAGAACTTCGAGGTTAAAATAGTGCTTCCATGTAGGATGAACTCATTTGGGACGATAGACAATTTAAACCCTGAATTGTAGTGGGTGCAGTTCGAGCGTTTTGGTATTAACCGTTTATGCCATCTTATTCGACTTGGAGCCTAATGTACAGATTAATCTGATCTAGATCAATACCACAATAGGTAACTTTGTCTAAACTTTGATACGCTTTTCACGCCTCTTAATTGAAATTTACCTATAGGGATGGGGAGGGTGTATGAATGAGCAATAAAATACACAAAACTGGAATATTAGTTACAAAAAGAATCATTTTAAAGTGGGAAATTTGCTGCAATGTGTATGTGAAAACAATGAACCTTGAAATACAATTTTAAAGTGAGAGTAACTAAGCGACAAGATTTGGTAAATTTTCTAGTTACATGAATATTTTTACGCAATTTGAGGATAGAGGAAGAGATGAGTACAGAGGAAGAAAACTGGAGATTACTTGAAAGGTAGTAGTTTTGGAGGAGAGCTCGCCCATCCAAACCTCGGAAAGAAAGTCCTGACAGCAGGGGTGAGACATGAAGTGGATGCATCCGCCACGGGCCGCTAGGCGAATCACAGCGCTGTGGCCGTATTCCTGCAACTTACGGTAGAGCAGCATTCTCGCCCGCTGGTTATCCTCCGCGTAGCACGCCTCCAGCACCTCCTCCGCCTTGCTCTCAAAGATCCTACAACAACATACATTTCACAATCGGTAGTTTTCATGGCGGTTAGCTGATCGAAGACTGAGCAGGACCTTATCACTTATGTAACGAAATTGCAAGAATAACAAGAAATTAATTTGCTTAAAATATGAAAAAAACGGGAAATGTATTTTAGGAGCATGATGGCAATTATTAATCGAAATATATGTATATTACGCATTGTGGTGTTTGAGTAGAGATATACCGGTTACACCTTTCTGCAGGAAAGAAACTGCCTCCCTAATTCGAAAAACTAAAATGGAGACTTACAGCATACATACATGAAGAGTGGATGGTGAAATATGATCAAATGAGCTTGGGTTACAGCGTTAGGATAGAATGAAAATGCTGAAATCAAGTAAACGGTAGTGTAGGTAATTACGGTTAACAGTAGAGGCGTAAAATGGGAAACGCATAATCGCAAATCCAGATTACATTACTGTCACAGATGCAAAGTTGTGCATGAGGTAATATTTCAAGAAATGAGTTATCAAGCATTATAAAAAGTGGGAAAATGACCTTGCATAGCGTTCAAACTCCAATTTTTGAGATATGTCTGTACATACGGCTGCGAGCTTGCCCAAAAGTAGGGTACAAAACATTGCACCACCGATTGGTTCCTATAATACATATATGCTTACTAGATTATTCACATTTGCATATAAATAATAGATGCCAGGGGAAAATGGTATAAATATGTAGAAGAAACAAGATGCAAAGCCTGCCTTTTCATAACCCCAAAAGAGAACAGCAAGCTTCAATTTTCCGAGCAAAATACACAGTAGCATCAATTCCCTGGCGGGGCGCTCGAGTCGAACCTTTTGCATCGCCGCAAAACCTATTGATAAATTGCAATTGGAATGTATAAATAAATACACCTTAGATATTTTTGAAATAATTTTTTGGCATGAATCTACTTACTGGCCAGTTTCTCGGGTACACACTGCTCCATTCCTAAAAGTATAATCTCAAAGTGAAGTCTTCGACTTTTCCACGATGCTTCCGATCGCACCGTGTAATGGAGTCAAGAGCACTGCAAGATACTCACAAATAATAGGTTCGAAGTCGCGGCAATATATTCGTTTTCTCTGCATGTTATTCGTAAAAATAATCACATTAGTTAACCGCGTACAGGCTGAGAGGCATACCTTTTTGGCCTCATCATGTCATATCACAGACCTGAGGGTTTGAAGAAATTGAAATTGAATTATATTAGACATATTTTAGAGTAAGTCCCACATGGAATTGTTAGAGTAGGCAAAAAACATTATTCAAATTTAGTCATGACTGAAGCAGGTGGGCCTACTTTGGTTGTTGATACCACGGATGCGTTCGTAGAGGGTTCGCTTATCCTGAGCTAGACGATGGCGACGTTTGCGCTCACGCTCCTCCGCCTTAGCTGCCTCACGCCGACGTGCTTCTGCGGAGATGAGACGGGAGCGCTCGGCGGCGGAGAGCTTTGAGACGGTAATGCGGTGGTGGCCGCGGTGACGCCCTGCAAAACTCGATTTGCGCAGCGCCGACAGTGTATCATCCATAGAAGTCGTCGAGAGAGGGTCTGTATTGATCAATTGGAAGTCCTCTGTTCGCTTTTCCTCCTCCTTCTCCTCCTCTCTCTCCATCTTCGTCCTCACCTTCACCCCTTTTTCGTCCGCCCGAGTCCCGGATACCAGCATGTCCCCCGCTGATGCAGATATTACCAAACAGAAGTGTGTTTAAAATACAACCCATAATGCTAGTGACGTTACCAAAACGCACAGAAACGAACCTTCCTTATTCAAGTCAGACATTTCCGACCCTGAACGCTGGGTTGCTATATCCATGTGGTCTCTTGACCATTTCCCAAGGTACCTATACTTGCCATTGCATCCAGGTGTCACGTCGAAATCCTCCCCTCTAAAAATTGGAGCCTTTGACCAAATAGTTCCATCACCGGTGGCCAGCTCCCTACTATTATTGGCCACGAAACGTCGGACAGCCCTTTTGTAATTGCCATCATGACCTTGATTATAAATAAATATGTTGACAGGATAACTGGCTCTAATGTTGAAAATTTCTTCTTGCATATTGAAAGATGGATGTGTACTTCAATTTGTTTAGAAACCAAGAGTATAAAATTTCCAAATATCAAAAAATGGCTTGCTCTTAACTTACCGCATCTCCATGTGTGTCCAGATGGGCCATGTTTGCGACCGTTTTCCAGTGGCACAACGACACCAACCCTTCTATACTTTCCATTTCCGCGCACACAAAGCCCTGAAGGTTTCCCGTTTTGGGGCACGGAAATGCGGTTTGTTTCAGGAGAGATAATGGTGGTGCTGCTCACTGACTCTGTTGATGCTGCCACTACTGCTGCTGACGGTGGTGGCGGATTCAATTTTACCTCCGGTGGCTGCTTCTGATGCTTACCGGGAAGTGGGCTCAGTGGTGCAAAGTAGGAGCCTTTTTTGCTTGTCCATGCTGGAAGAAAACCAATTAACTCAATCAAGAACTTTTCCCTTGTGAGTAAAGGTATTCTTATACATTAACAAATTAGAATTTCGTTTCAGACTTAGGAGAAATGGTTTCATTTTACATACAAATTAGCCCAATTATTTCAAAGGTTGGAAAATGTAACAGATTTTAGTTACGATGCTTAAGAATCAGCTCATTAATTACGGTAAAATAGTTAATTGATACGGTAGTAAACCTGATAGTTTCATCACAGCTGTTAAACTTACGATTTTCAGTGATAGGTACTTCCTTTTCCTCTGCCTCGTGTCGAGCGACGGCCCTCTTGACCATATTCCGAAAGTGCTTACTCAAATAGTACGGGCGGTAGAATTCCCCGAGAAGATGCTTAACCATGCGCCCAATATCACGTAACATTACCTAGAGCGCAACGACGTTTTTATGTGTTTGGAAGCCACCTAGAATACGCTCAGTAAGCCACGGCCAGTTTAAATGATTAATCTGCTCTTAACAAATCATAACCACAAAGTCAAAAAAAATATTATTTTATGCCTGGCATTCAAAATACAACGCGTTAACACATATTGAAGGATAAAAACCCACTGACACACTCTACTAATAACTCATGTGCTCACCCATTCCATCTTATAAATGCGATATGTTTCCCAGATTCGACGCACTGTTTCAAGCTTTGAATCCTAAGGAAAAAATTATGATGAGCTTGTACCAGAGCTACTTAGCTCAAAAAGGAATCAAGGTAGCCTAACCTTCTTCAGTAGACTCGCTGTGTATAACTTCTCCAAAGTATGGACAGTCAAGAAGGCCTCCAAATCGAACCCATTTTCCACGAGCAAACTCACAAATGCCTCTTGGTCATTCAGTATGGCCTCAAACATAAAGTTATCCAATCCGTGCCGCTGAAAACCGAAATTACCACTGAAAATTGTCTAACCTTCCAATGACGACCTTCTGTGAATATCTTCTCTTTGGCTATATCAGCCCGATTTAGACGAATCGTTACCTCCAACTGTTCAATATTTAGTACATTTAACGGAGTCTCCAATCCGGCTATAAAGATTGAATAAATAGCAAAAATAGGGTAAATATAATGGTCATGTCTTTGAGTTTTGCAGGGAGAAAGTTGTAGTTGAATTTAAACCCACATTTCACCTCTGTTTAGGGATGGCGCACCTTTCCTGAAGCAAAGTGCCTCAAACATTGATGTGGACGAGATTGGTTTCGATTCGGCCCGTATTACGAGTAGAAAAAGGTGTATTGTCACGTAAGTACGTTAAGTAAGTAAATTTAATGTGACTGGGTGTATGCGTCTACTGAAGTTATAAGTTTGATGCATTCTGAACTTCGACACCTTCAAATACACCCAGTTCACATAATCACAAGTGAAAGTAAATATAATCAGGATCAAAGATAAGGAAAAGTCGCTCAAAATCGCAAAGTATATGTAAGGAAACGTAGGAGAACGTAAAAAGTACGGAACGCATTTGGAGATATACAGGACTCAAAGTATAGGGGTGATATTAGGCATGTAAGAGAACCAACCGCTACTGAGAAGAGCAGATATCACGTAGCCATCCATGTCGGTTTCATCGCAGTCAAAAACGGACACGAGATGATTGAGCTCCTCAACCATTTTGCGCAAAATTAACACCTCATCCATGTAGTCGGCCAGATTGAGTGTTGTGATTTCTTGAGGATGGCGCAGCTGGGGACTGGGTAGTTTAAAGGAGACCCTTGAGGATCGATGTGAGGTTCGAGGAGTTGCGTCTGAACTGCTAACTCGACCGCTCTTCACAATGAGCGGTTCAGCGGGCTTCCTCTCTCTCAGGTAGAAGGCCCCAAGGTCCTGCTCGTCGGTCGCCTTTAAGATACTTGCGATCCTAAGAAAACCACGATGGAACACTTACGCATTAGTTAGCTCTCTGCTCCGATTACATATAGTGTCATCTTTTTGGAGACAGAAAAGGGTGACCGGAACGGGAAACTAAGGAAAATTATTTCATTGGCTTTTCAAAATTTAAGTTTGCAGTTTTTGTAAATTGGGACCAAATATACAGGCTTTTTGAGTTTTACAACAACAGTACTCAGTGATTTATAAGTTCTTTTAGTGGGCTGACAAGTCGATCAGCCAAAGTTTTACTGCTTGGATTTCGCACTAAATTCAAATTCTATTTGTCTCTTTGGGCATATATGATCTACTACCAAAATTAATCGCATAAAACTCATTTCTTGCGTTTTTATCGGTGAATGAAGTTATTAAATAAAATAAGCTTAAAGTTATTTTAAACTGCTCTACGAAATTGAATTTTGAATCAAGATTCCAAAATCCCAACAAATGTCAACAAGAGTAAGTTGATGAATTGCTGTTGCAAGCAAGCTTGTTTCCTTGAAAAGAGGTTACATTAATACATTTGTTGAAATGTTGCCAATTGCGATCGGTGGTGAGACGACGATTTGCTGCTACGCAGAACTGACAAAATTCCATATTTTCAAAGTGCACTGAGGAGGCATTCGATTTTAAATAAGTACGAAGATAAATAACACATGATTCTTGAAGGTAAATCAATTTGTAATATTCTGAAAGTAAGTTTTATAATATTGCCACAAATACTTGGGTCTCAGAAACAACGTATAAATTTTGCCGGCTTCAGTGTCAAATTTATTAATTGAAGGCACGTTCTATTACAGAAAAGGCTTCCTTTTTTTTGGACGAGCAAATTTAAATTTAAACATGGACACCTATTGGGAAAAAGTGAATAACAAAAT